AATCTTCACTACTGCGGCTTCCATTTTTTCAAGACTGTCTACGAGGCCATGAAGGTTGGTTTTTTACATATACAATACATGATATATACAATACATAATATTAGGTTGGAAAGAAAGAAAAAATTTATAAAAATAGAAATTTTAGACAACTGAAAACCAAAAACTGTTTGGGAATTCGCCTCTTTGTAAAAAAGTTATTACCCTTTGAAATTTGCTAAACTGGATGTTACAAGACTTTTGTTCATGACTGTATATTCAGAATCAGCATCAAATTCTGCGTCAAATGGTATAAGTCGCATAGCATTTGCGAGTTGACCTTCCCTTATAAATACATACAGTGGTCCACAAAAGTAATGCCCCATTGCCATTCAAAAGTATTTTTTGCAAAATTCCTCCTGAAAACATGTATTTAAAGTGTATTTTTTTTTCTCTTATAAAATACTTTAGAAATTCTAGTTGTTAAATAACTGGATTTTTTTTGATTGAGATCCTTCCAATCAAAAGATCGATGTGGAAGAGTGCAATGACCCCTAATGACCTGTGTTGACCTGTGCCCTGTGCAATGACCTGTGCAATGACCTGTGTTGGGGCGAGAGCCTTTTTAGTATTTTGTCACCTGACTGTTTTTCTTTAGGAGCGATGTCACGAACTTCAGTAGGTCCATTAGTTCACGTCAACTCAACGATGAATGCTGTGGCTTACAAGAACATTATGGGGACCCAAATGCTGCCTTTTGCCACACAGAGGATACCTCTTGGATGGATGCTCTGCCAGTACAACGACCCGAAACACAAGCCAAGGCTCATGATGGGAGCGGTGATGGCTCTTCAGAATGGTACACGAGTACGACTTCCGGGCTGGTTTGCGGCAAATCGAGTGAAATTGATCAATTCGCCTCCCTACTCACCGGATATCAATGTTATCGAGCATCTCTGGTCATTTGTGGAGTCGCGACTCAAGGGAAAGAAATTCGATTCTAAGGTTGCCTTATGGGTTCACATTCAACGTCTCTGGGCCACCATCCCCCAAAGTCTTTTGAAGAATCTCGTGGATTCCATGCCGGATCGACTCAATGAAGTAATAAAAGCAAAAGGAGGACCAACCAAGTATTGATTTAAAAAACTGGTGTTAATTCTTTACAAATGGGGCATTACTTTTGTGGAGCTAATTTTTAAGTAACTTATTGGTTTTGTTTTATAATTTAACTTGTATGTAATGTATACGGATAAATCTTATACTCTTGAAAAGTAGAGTCTTATAGGTAGATAAAAATACCCTACTCTTTTTCTGAAATGTCAACTTTGCAAGATTTCCTTACAAAACATACTGTTGGATGGCAATGGGGCATTACTTTTGTGGACCACTGTATGTAAGTAGTGCAACGTTATATTAAGTGTGGGTTGACACTAGGACTAGAAAATCATGCTAGAGATGGGCTATAACCAATTTTTAAAAAGAAAAAGGTTTTCAGGGGTACTCAACATCATTCTATTCATTTTGGAGCCTTTTAGAAAAAAAATTGGCTAAATTTTGACCTGTTTAAATGGATTCAAATGCAATGGATTGAACAATAAAGCCAAGGGAATAGTTTATTAGATTAAACATTGAACATTCAAAATTTAAGCACTTGGGCACAAGTTGCACGATTTTGGGCAATATTGGGTTCGAGTCGCGTCATTGTAGGCGGTGTTTGTGCAGAAACCGTTGGACACCCATTGAGCACAGCTAAATTCTTATTTTATGAGAAGATTTACAAGTTTGATTTTGTGAAAGTTCTTTAAAATTAAAGCAATTTCGATTCAACATTCGTGAGCTCCGCTGATCGATCTTGGATCCCAAGTGCTGTGAATGGTGCGCAGGGGCTGTCGGGTTTTTGGTCGCAGGGGTTTTTTGCTTCATCCCAAGGACCTCGTCCGTAGGGTCAGCAAAAAAACTCAAACAGTAAAGGAATACTACATCTACGTTCGTTTTTATGAAGTCAAGCCCTACTTTGAGTTATTATCTACGCAAGTGGTGGTGGTTGTGCACAAGTTGCAGCTCTTCTTGCAGTATTGAGCTCGTTGAGCGGCGGTGTAACCGGAATTCGTGCAGAAACCGTTGGCCACCCAATTTGTGCAGCTGTAATGTAAAAAATGTAAAAGAAAGAAAACAAATGTAAAAGAACCAATCAAAAGTCTAATTTCAAGAAGCAAAAATCTAACAGACCTGGTGTAAGCATCGACGCAGGTGCTGAGAGCATCCTAAACTGAATGCAATTCAATTGAGTCATTTCTCAAAGGCTTTCTGTTCATTTAAGAGATTTTGTTGCTATTCAAATAGTGATACAATCAATAAAGTCGATTTTCTATTCAGATAACAATTTTGACTCCATTCAAAGGAGTAAACCCCTTTGAGATCTATCAATGACTTTTCTTTCTGCCAGGATGACTTTCCTTATCAATAACTTTTCTTTCTTTGCTCACCGAGAAGCATTCATCAGCTCCATCGCTCAAATAGCATGTGCTTCCCGTTGGACAAGCTTCTCCATCAGGTTTTGCTAAAATTTACTTTCAAATGAAGTTAGACAAAGCTTACGTCCTGATCCAGCACTTGTGGGGACAGTGGATGGTCTGGCTGGGCAATCAGTTGAAGCAAGAACCTAAAGGAATGTTTGATTTTGTAATTTGTGCTGGATTTAGTTGAGTTTTATCATTTAAAACATAAAATTGTCAGAAATTGCTGAATTCGATTATTTTAATTCCTTAGAAGTTTACCTGTTGAGCAGAAAGAGCAAGAATTGTGAAAATGGTGATTTTAGCGAGCATTTTGGAGTGGATTGCCTTGAAAGCTGAGTAGTTGATATTGCAAGAGATTCTCGCAAGATATTTATACAAAAGTTATGCCCTACAAGCTTTGCTCTGGTCCAGCTTTGCAAATATATCTTTAAAGGTTTCCTACGTTTTTGACCTTTTCCAAAAATTGCGTTCCGATAAAAATCTCTAAAAAGGAATGGTCTCTGATCGGGAATTTGGAAAAGGTTATCGTTTGTGTCACTGGGATAAAGCTAAGCAAACATTATCAAACGAAATGACTGACTATGGTAATAGAATTTGGATTTTAGTGGGTTTTTAAACTTTGCAATGATTTTGTAAAAAATCGTATTTTGTATTTTGTAATGCAGTATACAATCGAATCGTCGTTAATTTTTTTACTGATAATTTAGTGACAGATAATTCAATTGACAGATTCAAAGATAAATTATATTATTATAGTCGTTCGATAGTCTTGAATCCCCTCTTGAGAACTAGTAGCAAATAATCGTCATTAGTATGACCGTATTGTCGTATTGTCGTAATGTTAAGTCTTGTTTATGTCTGGCTGGGCAATCAGTGGAAGCAAGAACCTAATTTTCTTATTAATATTCTGGTAATTTCTGTGTTCTGTATGAAATAATGAAGGTTGAAGTGTTTGCCAGGAGGGTTTCCCGTTTCGTTCAGTACGTTTCAAATGCAAGATCAGCTATGAAAGTTGAAGATATGAGAGGTGATCTGCGATTGTAGCTTCTTAGATAGTTTTCTGGACAATATTAACTTGTTTTCACTTGATTTTTATTACTTATCAACTTACTACTTACTTATTACTTACTATTAACTTATCAATAAGTTGTATCACTTTTCTTTCATTATCTACTTTTTTGTTTGTAAAGTACAAGCTGTTCAATATTTATGAAACTTTTGAGCTCCCAGATCGTTTAGCCCTCGCAAAACTGATCAATAAAGTTTCTTAGATAGTTTATTAGATTAAACATTGAAGTCGTCAAGAAGTCTGGATAGGAGTTGGAATAAAATCGACTTTCTAGATTATTTTTACAGTGAAACATTCCAAAAATCGACTCAGATTTTAAATTTGATATTTCAAGATCGATTGATCGAAACTTAATCACCAAAGTTCACCAAAATGAGTCACATTTCAGTCGTTCTCGTTCTTGTCCTTGTTCATGTTCCTGTTCTTGTTCAACGATGAGCAAAGCTTCACTATTTAACAGTTTTTGAATCTACGGGACTTTAAAAATGTTAGAATCACATTTCAGTTTTGGTTCTTTCAAGAAAGCTAAACGAGAACTTGTGACAAACTTAGTTTATGCCACAGGCGCTTTCCACGGGTGTTTCTAGTCAAGCAACAGCACCAAAGGTAATAATTTTAAAAAAAGTAACTAAAAGTTGTTAGCGTTGGGCTTATTGATAAGCGTGTTTCCTTTTTAGTATTCAATTTGAACAAAATGAGCTCTAAACCTAGTGGTCTACTGGTTTCTATAGATATTGAACACTCTGTTTGACTCTTTGAACTCTTTGAACTCGTTGAACTCTTTGATGAGCTTTCAATAGAAAGCTAATCAACATAAACTAGTATAAGTCTATATTATTCTATATAATTCTATATAATTCTATACAATTCTGTATAATTTATATAATTTACTATAATTCCCAAGGTGCTTGCTTTGGTGATAAATAGAAGTGAAACCAAAAGTTGCTGTTAAACCAGAAGCTGCTTTGAAACCAGAAGCTGCTGTTCAACCAAAAGTTGCTGTTAGACCAGAAGCTGCTGTTCAACCAAAAGTTGCTGTTAGACCAGAAGCTGCTGTTCAACCAAAAGTTGCTGTTAAACCAGAAGCTGCTTTTAAACCAGAAGTTGTTGTTAGACCAGAAGCTGCTTTTAAACCAGAAGTTGCTGCTAAAGTAGCTAAAGTAATTCAAAGATGAATCTATAAAATTCCTAACTGTGTAAACAAGTTCCCTTTTTGAAAATGCGGGAGTTGTCTAGACAAATTTATTTCGCTATGTATTCTGTGCCTCTCTGAGCTTGTATTTAAGTCAATATCTCTTTTGATCCGTAACTTTCTGGCATCAAAAAACAATTATATTCAAAAAATCTCCCGTTTATTCACGCTTTGGCAAATCACAAAGTAACTAGATAGCTTTTAATAAGAAATCTAAACATTTGATGAAATGAGTGCCATGTCACTCATCGGGTGTGGGTGGTTGTTGTTGGGCGCGGGCTTGTTGCTTGAAGTAGTCGTGCATTTTCTCGGCCACCTCAAGGACCTAAATTCAATTGATTGCAAAAGTTTACTTTTCTAGATTTATTAGGTACATGGTGCATTTATTAGGTATAAGAAAGGCGAATTTCCACATTTTCATAAATTTCCAACAACAGAAACCTGCTATCGATGAATGTTATAAACTATTTGAAAGTTGTAAATCTCCTCTACAAAATAGGCTAAAACGTGTTTCAATTGATCGAACCATTGAAGAAATTTCGAGGGCGAAATGCGAGTGACCAAAAAAGGAACTTTAGGGACAAGTTTAGTGTGGTCAAAATAGAGTTAGCTTCCCAAAATTGAAGATTTAAAAAAAAAAGGATAACTACCGTAAATACTGTAATAGTACCCCACCCCCATAATGACGGTGCCGAGTGTTGCGTAGTCTAGCTTTGAACGAGATTTTCTCGACACTGGTTTATGCTACAATGCGCGCTTAGGTATCAAAAAATAGCCCTGAATTTCAGCTATTTTTTGATACTAAAGACGCATTTTTTGAGAGTACGGGCGCTTTAAAAAAATGAAATACTAAAAAACTTTCGCGACTACGCGACTATACGAGGGCGGTGGGGTACTATTACAGTATTTGCGGTAGTTGAGTGGTAAAAGTGGTCACTCGTTTTGGTCTGTTTTGGTCGGTAAAGGTTTTGGTCACTCGCATTTCGCTCTCGAAATTTCTTCAATGGTTCGATCAATTGAAACACGTTTTAGCCTATTTTGTAGAGGAGATTTACAACTTTCAAATAGTTCATAACATTCATCGATAGCAGGTTTCTGTTGTTGGAAATTTATGAAAATGTGGAAATCCGCATTTGTGATGCATGTACCTAATATTTTTCGAATACAAATTGAACATTGTAGTTGCCAGGGTTTGCGAAATGTCAAAGTTAAGCCAATCCCATGGCTTCCTTTTGGTATTAGCCTAGGATTTCAACCTTGCCGTTAGTTCTGGCCTGTTAGTTCTGGCCTGTTAGTTCTGGCCTAAGTTAGCCGGAAACCTTGGCTTTGCCTTGACCTAATCCTGGCCTGGACTTATCCGAAGCTAACGGAACTACACCGAATCCAGATTGATTCTACGGATTGTTTTAATTGTGATTATTTGGTACTATCATCTTGATATCGCCGAATTTATTTTAGAATCAATGTTCTTTCATTCTCTAACCAACCTCCATTGTCTCGGGCCTCTTATTCGGATCCGACATGATACATCTTGACACAAGCTCTCTCAACTAAAACAATGCAAGCCTTAACTTGAGCACTAAACAAACCTGATTTGAATAGATATCAGCAGGTAGAGGTGGGTATTCACAGTTCTCAATTTTCTTGCATAAAGAGTAAAGATTCATTTTGTCTCCATAAAATGGCGATTGTAGAGCAGCCATTTCATACAAGAGACACCCAAGTGACCAGAGATCCGACTTGAAATTGTAGCCACTTTCCTGTATTCGTTCGGGACTCTGAAAGAGAAATTTGCTTAGAAAGATTTCTAAATATTCCAGAATAAGGGAATTGAAAATGGCAGTAGAGAAAGGGCAGTAAAGTTACTCATTGTTATCACAAGTCTTACCAACCAACAGGGACGGTATGCTTCGAAAACTTTACTCTACTGGGCTTACTGTATATTTTGCAATTAATAGCATATTCAAACGTTATAGTTAGCATAAATTTTGTTATTTATTTGATTACCATGTAATATGGTGTTCCGACAAGCGAGTGAGCAGCGGTCGTTTTTGAAGAGAAAAATCTCCCCAAACCAAGGTCGCCAAGCTTTACGATTCCCTCACTCGTGATGAAAACGTTCGCTGGTTTGATATCTGAAGCAAAAACTCTATGAAACGAAAGGTTAAATAAAATTTAAGCCAAAAAAGGAACAGTTTTAGACAGTTTTCTGCAAAATAACATTGAATCGGGTTTAAAATATCTTATTTCTGGATTTTTTTGAGAGCCTGAAGTCGGCTAGTCAAGAAGAGCGACGGCTCGATGATGTGGACACTTTAGCTTTAGAAAAGACGCACTTTAGCTTAGGAAACCTATCTTGGTGTCAATAGATAAAAGATAGAGCATAAAAAGTTAGCTCTATAGATAAATTTTCAGAGAAATTGATGGAGCCAATTTCCTTGTAGAGGTTTTTATAGATTTTTACGAGAAACACGTTTTTACTCTCGAATTTTGATTGAAAGTGAACCCAAATTAACTTAAAAAGATGGGAAATTGAGCAATAAACACTTTTTATTTAAAGAAAACCATAGTTTAATTGGTGAACTTGTTATTTTTCAACGGAAGTATGAAAAGAAACGAAAAGAAACGAAAAGAAAACTTTCTGAACATCCAGACGGAATCTACCGGTAACATTGTGGACAGCCTAATACCAGTTTAGCAAGATAGACTTATCCATTTCAAAAAGTAACCTTTTAAAAAGCGTACAAAACTTTCTCGACAGCCTAATACTTACCCCGATGCATGATCCTCTTCGAGTGCATGTGTGCAACGGCTCTTGCCAACTGCACAAAGTATTTCCATATTGTTCTTTCCGGTATCAGACGACCGTTCTTTTTGAAGTGCTAGAAATTTGATTAGCTAATAAGCTATTAATTAGAAACAATTAGCTCATTTATAGCTGCTTATTTTGATGCATTTATTTGCTTACTTTAATCATCCTACTCATATCACCCGCTTCGGCCAATTCGAGCACTATGTTGAGCTGATTTTTGTCGATGAAAGACGCGTAATATCTGGGGAATTTGGCTTTGTTTTGTAGTTTTGTAATTTGTATATTACCTAATGACATTGACGTGATTGAGTTGTCTGAGCAAGTCGATTTCTTTCATGCAATCTTGTCTCGCTTTCTGATCGACCATCTCGAAGACTTGGATCTTCTTTAGAGCAACCATTGTGTTGTTGGGAACATATCTAAAGCTGTTGATTGGTTTGTATTGGTTTGCTAGTAAAAGGAAACTAACCAGTAACAAAGTTATCCGCTACAAGATTGCTACAAGATTGCTACAAGATTGCTACAAGATTGTTACAAGATTGTTACAAGATTGTTACAAGTTTAAGTCTATCTCATTTAAAATTGGATTTTCAGCTAGAATCTTCTCTAGAATTGGCTTCAGCTAGAATTGGCTTCAGCTAGAATTTGATCTGTTAGACCGTACGGTACATTTAAGCACATCTAAACAAAAGTAAAATACTATTTTTACAACCCCCTCCCAAACCGCAATACTATTATAATACGGTAATTGATTTTTAATTATATTAAAAAATAGATTAAAAACTTTGCCTCACCCGCCATATTCGCTGGACCTTTCGCCTACCGACTACCAGTTTTTCAAGCACCTCGACAACTTTCTCCGGGAGAAATGCTTCAAAACTCAAGACGATGCCAAAAACACTTTTGCCGACTTTATCGCCTCCAGATGCCCGGACTTCTATGCTACCGGCATAAATAAACTTGTTTCTCGTTGGCAAAAATGTGTTAATTGTAATGGCGCTTATTTTCTTGCCATTGACTTGATCAATTTGGCTACACTTGGTTTCATTCAATGGATATTAAACAGTGCTATCGAATGAAACTAATTGTAGCCAAATCGATCAAGTGAGCGGTGAGAAAAACACAAAAAAAAACCTTTGCCTCTGGGAATGGGGACATTTTGTGGGCGGTATTTTGGGGACACTTTGGGGAAGTACTTCAAAAGTATACCTTTAATCGATTAAAAATTTGTTTACGCAAATTTATTGATTTAATTATTTAACCAAGAGAAAAACACTTTAGTTTAAAGTCCCTTTACTGCCGTACAGCCAGAGTACTCTCAAGAAAGCATAAAAGTCTACAGTCAATACTTTTCAATCGCAGCTAATGTTTGAATTAAAGCTAATGCTCATCCAGCTAATGCTAAACCATCTAATGCTAAACCAGCTAATGCTAATCCATCTAATGCTCATCCAGCTAATGCTAATCCAGCTAATGCTAATCCAGCTAATGCTCATCCAGCTAATGCTCATCCAGCTAATGCTAATCCAGCTAATGCTAATCCAGCTAATGCTAAACCAGCTAATGCTAATCCCGCTAATGCTCATCCAGCTAATGCTTATCCAGCTAATGCTAATCCAGCTAATGCTAAACCAGCTAATGCTAAACCAGCTAATGCTAATCCCGCTAATGCTCATCCAGCTAATGCTTATCCAGCTAATGCTTTAACTTTGTATTTGTTGAAATTTTGCTATAAACCCACTTTGCCCTGAAGACTTCACTGAATTGTCCTTTTCCGATCTTCTTCTCAATCACAAAGAGATCCAGAGAAAGTTGATCGGATGGCGGGAATTGCACATCGGCTGACGATTCATCCATAAGAGATTGTGATGCTTTAAAGATTTAATAAAGTTTATTCTTGAATAGACAAAAAAATTCTATTACCCGTAAAAAAAACAGAAAATTGAAAAGAATTGAGAAAAGAAAGATTAGAGAATTGAGCAGCAAGAAAAGCAGCAAGAAAAGTCTTAAGTTTTAGATTCAGATTGACAAAAGCTGATGATAAAAAAGCACTAGGCGAAAAGGCTTTTTCCAGGGCCAGGCTTTTTCCAGGTCCAGGTTTTTTCACAACTTTTTGTAGTCTTTTTTCGAAAGTGTGTCGTTTGCATAAGAAAATCGTAAAGAAACGCCTGGGGGAGACGGGTTTTGGTCAAAAGGAAATGGCAAAAAAGAAGAAAAAAGAGAAAGAATTTGAAAGAACGGACTAGAATTCTTTCGAATTTTTCCTTTCAAATCTTTTTCCGGCTTTCATATATTGAGTGGACCTTTTTCGATCTACGCCTTCTCGGGTCGCTATGGAGACTTTTCTGAACGAATTGCTCTTGGGAATTCTTGTCCTCTCGTTGAAACCAGGAAAAATACGAGTTCTCAATGCTCAATTAAGAGTGAGAGCAAAAATTGATGGAACAGGTGAAGTCAACTGTTTAAACGAGCCCAAATTTGACTTGGTTACTGATTTTTATCTTATACATAGCTTATCTTATATATAGCTTAGCTTGTATATAGCTTATCTTATATATTTAGCTTATCTTATATACTGCTTATCTTATCTAGACGATTTTTAGCTTATCTTTTGCCTGATTAAGTTTTTAGACGGTTACGCTTGGATAAAAGTGTTCAGCAATTGTTTTACTGGTTGTTTTACTGATTGTTTTACTGTTTTACTGGTTCTAGGTTCTAAAAATGTTAAAAACAGGGTATTGAGGCAGGTATTGAGAAGATTGTATTTACTTTTGTAGCCTTTTACCTTAATATTCTACAAAGTTGAGGTGAAAACCCATTTTACCTTAATTTTCACCAAACTATTCCCAATTAGCGAAATAAACGATCAAAAAGAGACAACAAAATGGGGATTTCGAGAAAAGCAGAAAGTTTTGAAAACTAATAAGAAAAAAGACAGTAATCACATCACAATTTATCCAACTGATACAAGAAAATCTCTTTGCACAAAGGGGAAAAGAATGAATGACATTGTTTCGAGTAGAGATCGATGGCGAGTTGTTTCTGAAAAAGGAAACATTCAAGCAAAGTTTGGCTTTTGAATTTAACGTATTTTCTCTAATAGTAGTGCACCGAGTTGATGCCGAGTTGATGGCTATTTTACAGTTCCCAAGCTTTCCCCGAAGCTCAACACTCTAATCCCCCACTAGATCTCATCGTCAGCTACATTTTCCGACCGCACATCAATAGGTTTTGATAAGCGGTTCTCGAGATTTCGAGCAATTTAGGCGACGCTCAGGATGCACTACTATTAGAGAAAATTCGGTATACTAAAAAATCAAATGATTCAGGGAATCTTATAGAAAAGAGATGAAGATTGAAGAACTAGCGTGCCGTTGATCACTTGTGCGTGGATCAAAGAGCTAACCATATAAAAAGTGCCGCGTCAGCTACATTTTCAACGTCAGCTACAGATTTTGGTGTTTTTATCGAAAAAGAGCCATTAAAAAAGCCCCAGAAAGGGAATCCAATATCAACTTTAGTTTATTTTAATTCAAAAAGCTGAAAATTTGTGGAAATTGTTCAATTTGCTAAAGATTTGATAAACTTTGAAGTTGACTAGTCGACAAAAATTGGCCCCGAATGAAAATGTTGTAAGTTTTCGAAATGGCTCAAATTTATCAACAAGTTTTTTTGAGAATGCTTTTATACATTTCAGACAACATTACCTACATTATTGATACAGTATTTTCTCTAATAGTAGTGCACCGAGTTGATGGCTATTTTACGGTTTCCAAGCTTTTGCAGAAGCTCAACACTCTAATCCCCACAAGATGTCATCGTCAGCTACATTTTCCGACCGCACATCGATAGCTTCTGAAGCGATAGGTTCTGATAAGCGGTTTTCGAGATTTCGAGGAATTTAGGAGAAGCTTAGGGTGCACTACTATTAGAGAGAAAACGGTATATCTCTTTTTACAAGTGAATTAACCCAAGCTTTGAATGGAACCCATTGCCTCTCCGTTAACCCATTAAAAACTTGTTTAAAGGCTGGCCACTCAAAAAGTGATCAAGTCACCACAGCTGAAGATCTCTTATTTTTCATCTGAAGCCAACTCTGATTTTTTTGATCAAAAACTTTTTGAAATATAATCAAGTTTATCAAAAAATCTCTTTTTACAGGTGAATTATGCAATTTTTCATTATCAAATTAGGTTTTGAGCTCAAATATCGAGTCTTGCGTAGAAATTAAGTAGAAAAATGACGCCTTATGCTTTCGCAATGGGTTTTTGATCATCGGGAAATGAGTCATTGAGAGCAATCAGTTTAGAAAAGAAAACGGTTTTCAAATTATGAAAGTAAGAGTGATTTTTGATTGCAAAACTGTTCTATGGTTTAGTTATCAAGTTAAAGACTAGTTAAAGACTAGTTAAAGATTAGTTAAAGACTAGTTAAAGACTAGTTAAAGACTAATCCTAAGACTTCAAGGCTTTAAAGAAAAAAAAGTACTGTGTCAAATAAATCTTATGAAGAAAAATGATAAATGATGATAAAAATTGTATTTGGAAACGTTTCAAAAATCAAAGTTTCCATGAATCAAATCAATGAAGCCTTTTCTCTTTTCGGGAAAAGAAAAGGGGTGATGATCGGCGCGAAGCGCTCATGATATCTTTGCAAGAGATTGGAAGGGTTTGGGAGAAGGAGAAAAACAAGGACAAGGGATACAAAAAGTGACCTGACATAGCGAGAGACATCCACATAAAGAGGACACCAACAGGAATTCGCTCGTCGTTAGAGGGGAATCCGAGGCACCACGTACCCAGCCAGCCTGCAATTGAAATGTAATCAAGAATTGAAAGAGTTGGCTAGTTACTAATACTGTAGTAACACAGAAGTTTTCATTGACTAACCTCATCAAAATCAATACCATTCTCGAAGGTTTGCTTCAATACGGCTTGTCGACCACGTCGAGCCTAGAATTTGTTTTAGCAACGTTTTACGAAAGTTGGAGACACTTAAAATCGTAGGTTCGCCCATAAGTTCTTAGAATTTCTTTTGAAAATGTTTTCAAAACTAACGGGAACTTCAAATAAAGTACGGTTTTCTTTGTTAAAAAGGTCTAAAATGCATCTACAAAATGAGACATTTGGAAATTTTTTTGCTCATGAGGTTTTTAAAGCATTAAAGATTAGGTTGTCCGGAATGAAAATACCCTTTTAATGAAAAACAAATCTATCTCCACAAAAAGAAAAAAAAGGCGCTGTAATCCAAAAGATATCCTCCGTTGTTAGCAATAGTCTTTCTCCATTTTTCTTTCAAATCTCGGATCCCTTTGCTGAAGAAATCCTGAAGCTGCGAGTCAAAGTATTGGCTTACCCAAATTCGGACTTCGTCGTGATCCTTGAAGTGTTTATCGGTCAGGAAGTGCTGCATAGATCGAAATAAGCCGTAGTCTGAGGGTGCCAGATCTGGACTATACGGCGGCTGCGGGAGACATTCCCAATTCAATTCCTCGAGTTTTTCTTGCATCATCTTTGCTGTGTGTGAGCGCGCGTAATCTTGCAGATATCTCACAGTCGATGCGTTTACACCTTGATTCTTGAGAGCCTGCTCTACTCGTTCCAGCTGTTGCACATATACATCTGAGGTAACTCTTGGGCGAGAATGTAGAACCTCAAAGTGTATCAGGCCACGGGAATTCTACCAAACAGATAACATGGCCTTTCTTCCATCCGGATCACGTTGTGGCGTCGTTTTTTGACTGTTCTCCTGGACTTAGCCACTTCTGTTTTCGCGATGGGTTATCGTAGTAAATCCATTTTTCATCGGCCGTCACAATAGTATCCCAAAAACTTCGATTTTTTGATTGACGAAGAAGAATACCGGCCATAGTTGTGTGGCCTACAGCAAACATTTTTGCAAGTTCCCGAGTCAACAAGGTTGGGTCATCTTCTGTGGCTTCTCAAAGATCGTCATCGTGGAGGGAGTGACCACGTCCTCGATCCTGTAGAGTTTCGTCTCCCTCTCTAAATCGTTGAAACCATTTTTTACAAGCTTCCTCAAAATAAGCAGCTTCTCCAAAAAATTTCAAGATTGAACTATGGCTCTCTGGGACACTTTTTCCTTGTTTAAAGTCGTAGAGCAAGCACACCCGAATTCGGTACTTCTGATCTTCCATTCGAAAAAAGTCAAAATTGTAAGGCAGTAAATTTTTATAAAAACATAGAGTTAGAAAAGATATATAACTTTAAAACAATACAAAAATCAGACGCGAAGCTGTTCGCTACACCGAAAAAATTGCAATCGAAGTTGAGGGTATTTTCATTCGGGACACCCTAATAAATTTTTGTTGATGGTATGGTGGTGATCATGGTGGCATCCATAATCTCATGATACTCATATCGAGACATGGTGATTTTATGAAAAAGTATGAAGAATTTTTGAGCACAAATTCTTCTGTGATGTGACAGTGAATCAGACTATGACATCACACCGACTGTGATGTGACAGTGTGATGTGACAGCGAATCACACCATTACATCACACCGACCACCTCTAGCAGCCAGAAATTTGAGGAATTCCGGTTTAAAAGCATTGTTTTTTATTGAACACCCTGTATATTTTCCACTACTCACTTTTCTATTGCATATCACGAGCATTGTCGCAATGTCAGCTTCTTTCTGGACCTCTTTACCCATTGGTGTACTGAAAGGCTTGGATTGGTAATGCTGGAAGATTGATAAACCTGTTATGCCATGCTTTCATTGATAATGTCCACAATTGATCCAAAGTATCTAGCAAGGCTTCGATTTGATCGGTTTTTAGTTGTGCTGTTGCTAACACGCGAAGCGCATCCGCTCCACACAGCCGCTCTCCCTCGAAGAGTCGAACTGCTGAAAACTTTTTAATTAATATAGCTTAATCAAAAGTATTTAGCTATTTAGCTATCTTGAACGGTTGAATAATGTTATTAGAAGAGATTCAGCCTTCAAATCTTTCTTCTGAAGTTCTTCTTCTAGTTCTTACCTCGACTAGCGTGTTCTGTAGCGGCCAGGTAGTTCTCAACCTCAAGGGAATGCTTAGCTGCCTGAATTGAATCTTATGCTAAAGTTTAAAGAACGTATTAAAGTAAAACAACCAAAATATATCCTTCATTATGTAGATATGCAAATTTACCTCTAAAGAAACCATTGCTGCCAACTTTAAACTTTTCAAAGCCATCAAAATCTTGATTGCCCTTGAAAAACAAGCTGATGCATCAGAGGTCCAAGGACAAAACACTAAAAATTAACTGATTTCTGAAAAGTATTCAATCAACCTCGACTTCTATTGTGATGATGAGACTTTTCTTCGGTTTTCATCTCATTCGCCGCCTTTTCCCATTGTTTTCTCTCTTCATTTGGCTCGTTGAGTTTCGCGTAGATTTGCGCGATCTCACAGTGGCAGACCGCTGCATGAGCACCCCATTCTTCATCTCTGAAACCAGCATTTTGTATGTACAATCTTTTCTAACCATAAGCTTTTAGTAAATCAATCTCGGTCGGACCATCGACGCAGACCTCTACTGCGCCCGACTTGACCGAATGTATGCGCCGCTTCGTGAAAAATATCCCGCTTTGGTCAATCGAAAGCGCATAGTCCTTCAGCAGGACAATGCAAAACCACACACCGCTAGACAAACCAAGGAAAAGATCAAAAATCTAGACTCAATTGAACTTCTTCCACATCCAGCGTACAGTCCGAACCTTGCACCATCCGATTATCATCTTTTCCGCTCCATGGCACACTTCCTTCGCGGACGAGCCTTCAACAATCTGGGCGAAGTCGAAAAAGGGTGCCGCGAGTTTTTTGCCTCTAAGAACAAGGAGTGGTACCGCCGCGGGATCGACCAACTTGCCGATAGATGGCTTCAAGTCATAGATTCGAATGGTCTTTATTTCGAAACTTAGAGTGCTTGCCTTTCTCTAGCAATTCGGAAAAGCTACGGCAAGTGCTTGCCTTTCTCTAGCAAGAGTTCGACAGGGTTGTTTCAATGCAATGACAATTGTTTTAAAATTGGTTAAACAGTCAAGGCCAGACCCAGAGCAAATCCAGAGCCAGAAGCAAATCCAGGTTAGGTTTAGCTCATTCCTCTACCATTCAAAGTTTATTCACCCAGAAATTCCTTTTACATTTCACATCTACAGCTCACTTACTTCATTTTCGTTGCTATGTGAGCTAACTGGTGAATGGCGGTGGAATGATTCGGTTTCTGAATGAGCTGCTTCTTCTTCAATCCCTCCACCACATGTCGCAACTCGCCCCAATTATCGCAGAACTCCATTCCTGAAAATTTGACGGTATTCAGCAGTAGAAACCTTTTGTAATCAAGTCAAGTCAAGTCAAGAAAGAGACAGAAAATCGTTCATAAGCAATAAAAGCAATAAAAGCAATAAAAGTAATATAAAATTTCACTTGCCAAGATAAAACTTTGATTTTAGCATTGTTGTTGAAGCAGTTAGAGCCTTGAGAATGGGCAAAAGAAGTAGCTCATGAAAAGGCGAATTGGCACATTGCCAAACTAAAAAGTACGATAGCTTGGGCATTTTTTAAAGCTCTTTGATTGCCAAAGCTTTTGGCAAACAAACATATACAAAATGAGCTAATATTTGCCGATTTCGATCTCATAAATTCAATAAATATGGAAGAAGTGTTGGAAATTGAAACTGAAATGACAAAAACACGTGGAAAAGCAATGTGAAGGGCTTTCCAACAAAGGCCATGTGAAAATTGATGATCGATTATTGAAGTCGATCTATTCAAATCCTCGACTCGATCTATTCAAATCGATGCTTTTTATTCTTTTCCCAGCTTTAATTTCGTTTGTTTGTTCGTATCCATGTGAGTTATAAAGTGTTTTTCCCTCCGTAATGCGTTTCTAAAAAGTCTTATTTTTCGATTAAATTGGAAAGAAAGTTCTCAAAAAAAGTTTGACTGGAATTTCTTAAAAACAAATCCACCAATTCAAGAACATTTTCTTTTATTATTTACAAGTCGACTCCAAGAAATTACTAATAAAAAATGAGTGCAGCTTTCCCATAGAATTTCAGAGATTTTTGAAAAAGCATTAGTTTCCAGCTTTTTCCAGCTTTCAGCTCACTTTTTGCACCAGAAAAATGATTCTTTATGAGGTAAAGCTATCATAAATGAGGAATACGTTCTATAATCTCTTTTTGACTCTAAAGCTCTATTTCTAACTAAAAATGTTTTACAGAGATGCTGTATTTCAAAAAATAATTTTTTCGTGTCATCTTCTTGGCACTGAGTGTTTAAAAATACCGACTGGGGCTACCAGTGGTGAATTTATCGCATACACGAAATATATCAATCACAATACAACGACACACACAATACTAGGCTATATCTTAACTTAACCCACGTCATGACAGACGGCTCCCTAACCCTAAGCTCAATGGGGAACTAAATAGCTTTTTTGGTGGTGAAGGGAAGATGACGATGAAGGAGTGGCTTGTCACTTTAAAGAACTGGGGCCACAACCACCAGACTGCCCTCCAGAAAACCTCTCAACCCGAAGGGAAAGGAAATCCGAAGGGGGTGACCATGTCGCATGTGGGGTAAAAGATAAAAGACACTTAACCAGTCAGCCACACGTGTTTGTTAAAATACCTTATTTTCTCTAATAGTAGTGCACCCTGAGCGTCACCTAAATTGCTCGAAATCTCGAGAACCGCTTATCAGAACCTATCGATGTGGGGTCGGAAAATGTAGCTGATGATGAGATCTAGTGGGGGATTAGGGTGTTGAGCTTCTGCAAAAGCTTGGAAGCCGTAAAATAGTCACCAACTCGGTGCACTACTATTAGAGAGAATACGGTAAATTCAAAAGCCAAACTTTGCTTGAATGTTTCCTTAGGATGTAGGATTAACTTTAACTAGTCTTTAACTTGATAACCAAACCATAGAACAGTTTTGCAATCAAAAATCACTCTTACTTTCATAATTTGAAAACCGTTTTCTTTTCTAAACTGATATGATCTCAATGAATCATTTCCCGATGATCAAAAACCCATTGCGCAAGCATAAAGCGTCATTTTTCTACGTAAGATTTCTACGCAAGACTCGATATTAACATCAAAACTTAATTTGATAATGAAAAATTGCATAATTCACCTGTAAAAAGAGATTTTTTGATAAACTTGATTACATTTCAAAAAGTTTTTGATCAAAAAAATCAGAGTTGGCTTCAGATGAAAAATAAGAGATCTTCAGCTGTGGTGACTTGATCACTTTTTGAGTGGCCAGCCTTTAAACAAGTTTTTAATGGGTTAACGGAGAGGCAATGGGTTCCATTCAAAGCTAAAATCAACTACTTAAAAGAGGGAAAATTTGTGATTAAGGTAAATTCTAATGCTTTAACTTTCCAGAATGACCTACCGTACTCTCTCTAATAATAGTGCACTGAGTTGATGGCTATTTTACGGTTTCCAAGCTTTTGCAGAAGCTGAACACTCTAATCCTCCACAAGATGTCATCGTCAGCTACATTTTCCGACCGCACATCAATAGGTTTTGATAAGTGGTTCTCGAGATCTCGAGCAATTTAGGCGACGCTCAGGGTGCACTACTATTAGAGAGAAGTGCTCAGGCTCAGGCTTATTCAAGGGCTTGTTAAATGAGTTGCATAAATCCGATTGGAAAGTTTTTAGTAGATAAATGTAGTCAAGATTAAGGGCTACAATCCTCTATATAACACTTGACACTTTGAAATAAATTAAGCAATAACTAGTCTTCCGAAAAGTTGTCAGGGTAATTTTGAGACACCGTAATCTTGTCTCAATTTATTTACCTAATCCTTTTCAGGGAACGAACATGAAAATACTTGTATTGGGATTTCGAAACTGGAAACCTTTTTGAAGCTTTGTAAATCTGGTAAGTGTTGTTGAATGGGAATTAGCTTCAAATCTTCTAGGATTTCTAGGATTGTGATTAAACCAAGAATTGATGAACTTTATAATCAGCCATCAATCTCATTTCAGCCATCAATCAATCACCAAAAGGAGAACCAGTGCTTTATTTTGAGGAAATGAGAAGAAATCGATTTGGAAAGCTCACTCCATTCAAACAGCAAACCACTTGGCGGAAATTGTTTCAGAATGTATCTCCAACACTGCAAATGTTTATCCAAAAGGGACTTGAGAAAACCGAAGAGATTTTTGCCGATATTCGAAATCAACTAAAAAAATGGAAGAGAAATATTGTCATTAAGCTTGACCTTACAATTTTCAAAGAAGGTCGAAAGGCCCTAGTAAAGGAATGGCCACATCTTCAGCATCATTCACCAGTCGATTTATCTCAAGCCGTCGCTTGTTATTGTCTCAGCCACTATCCATATGTCAGAGTGATCAATCTCAAAGAAAGACCGATAAAGCAGAAAGCATTAGGTTAGGCATATTTTCTTCTCAGTTTTATTAGCCGTTTATTGCCTTTATCCACTATACAGGGTGCGTCATAATTATTGCAACAAGATACTCAAGGCATTGCACACCAAGAAGTTTCACTGGAAGAAGATTTTTAAACAGAAATAGCTTTATTTAACAGTAACAAATAAGGAAACAAGAGATCATTCGATATGACCGCCTTTTGCCAGCCCTTAATCGGTTCGGATATGCCTCCACTGCGGCCCGAATGTCATCTTGAGGAATCGCCTTCCATCCTTTGGTCAAAGACTTCTTCAAAGAATCCAAACTTGTGTGTTTTCGAGAGCAGACATTAGCCTCTAAGATTGCCCAAATGGAAAAGTCCATCACATTGAGATCCGGTGAGTTTGGAGGCCATTCATCCTTGGTGATCACTGAGGGAAAGTTGGCCACACACCAGTCCTGAACCGTCTTCTTCGTGTGAGCGGGAGGCAATTAGGCAAGAATAAAGAAGATAGAACGCAACACAACAAAAAAGGGAGCAAAAAAATAAGAAAGCTGTTTGGAAAACGGTCTTTGAACTCTTGTTGCAATAATTATGACGCACCCTGTAGAGATGGGAAAATTTCAAGCCAAACATAATTCCACCTATACTGAATAAAATTGGTTTGTACAAGGACTCTTTCCTCTGCAATCTTTTACGGAGATGCTTTCTCCTTAAATGTCGATTAAAAAATATCGAGATCATAGAACTTTGGCTCAAAAGAACATCAAAGTTGGGTTGACTTCAATGATCAAAAAGTTTCTCCATCATTTCATGTCAAAAAAAAGTTGCCCTGTTACTAGCTTAAGATTATAACTTTTCATTCTAACCAAACAGAAATTAGATAGCTGCTCAGATGGAGAAATTTAGATGGATTTATTTAGATGGACTTTGCATTCACCCAATAGTTAAGCATAGAGTGTTTTCCTCGCGAGTAATGCTTTTTTTTAAAACGCACACTTGGGAAAGAATTACCTTGTACTTTTAGCAAAAATTATTGGAAAAAAATGACGCAAAAATCACGAGCCCTGAATTATATACGACACTTTTTAAAGATACTCAGCCGTTTAATTGATTTGGTGGGAATTTCCCTTTCAATGTAAAAAAATGATTTTTTGAAGAACCTGGGGGTAGGCTAGTTTCCGCAATTTTTTTTGCACAACAGGGCCTTGGTGCGCTTTGGGTCATTTGCGGACCTGGGTCGTTTGCGCAACTCGCAACTTGTACAAGGACTCTATCCTCTCCAATCTTTTATCCAGGCAGAGATGCTTTCTCCTTAATTCATCGTGATGTCTGATCACAATCGACAATCGACAAACTCTCTTTTTTCATTAATATGTAGGAGATACACGTCTTGTAAATTGAATAAAACTATTGTTTTCAAGTTGATTGGTCAGATTGCACGGTAGTTTGAGAAAAAGTTTGTCGAATGTGATCAGATAGCACGATCGATTAAGGAGAAAGCATCTCTGCCTGGATAAAAGATTGGAGAGGATAGAGTCCTTGTACAAACCAATTTTATTCAATATACCACCTTCATTTTCTCAGCCGTTTCTTGGCCGTTTGCTTTGAAATTTTGTCTACAAGTTGAAAATATCGATTTCTATCTGTAGACAAAATTTCAGAGCAATCGGCCAAGATCAAGAATCAAGAATCAGCCAATTGCTATTTTCTCATTTTCCAATTGCGATAAAATCACCGTTATCTTTTCTTTCGATTATTGCAAGTAATTGAAGCAATCATGCAAGCAAAAAAAACCAATTCTTGAGCTTTTAAGTTTTCTTTATATTATACTTCAATATATTTCTATATTTACCGTTTTAATTTATATTTTTTCAAGGTTGGGGAGTTCGAGCTACAATTGACATCCCAGCATTCACTCTATTGGTTGGATATCAGGGACTTGAACATATCATTGGCGATCTTGATGACGATTTGTTATGGAGGTAACGGTTAGAATTGGCTATTCGTTCCTTTATTGCTGTTTGAGCTTAAATTTAACTTATCTGGCGCAGAACTAGTGCTAAAAATTAGCAAAATTAGCATAATCAGCATTGGCTAATAATAGAATAGATAGAAATAATAGAATTTTTAGAATACGTCAAGTAAACGATGCGACGATGGATGCAGAATATACACTTACAGTTGATAATACCGACTATTTGATCGAAGGTGCACCAGCTGTGGCTCTTTACCATGAGAAACGGGTTTCTTTGTCAGGTATTATGTTAACTAGATAATATAAATCCAGTTTTCCGAGTAGAGTGTGTTCCTCACAAGAAATAGTGCAAAAGAGGAAATGAGTGGATTTAAAATCAACTGAATATCTTACAAATTGTAGAAGAGAGATACTTATCAACAATAAAAAGCTATGCTTATCAACAATAAAAAGTATGTATTTTCTCTAATAGTAGTGCACCCTGAGCGTCACCTAAATTGCTCGAAATCTCGAGAATCGCTTATCAGAGCCTATCGCTTTAGAACCTATTGATGTGGGGTCGGAAAATGTAGCTGACGATGAGATCTAGTGAAGGATTTGAGTGTTGAGGTTCTGCAAAAGCTTGGAAACCGTAAAATAGTCACCGGGGTGCACTAATATTAGAGAAAATACGGTATTCAGTTGTTTTCGTCCTAATACGTCTCCTATTTCGCACTGTTTCTTGAGGGAAACACACTTTATTCCCATTACTATCCACTTTACTTTATTCTTTGAAACTTTCCCAAATTTTGAAAACTATCATCGAAAACTATCTGTCAAATTTAGACAAAAGCACGAAAGTTCTATTCTGCTTGGGTCCTTTGGTTAACGGATCGCCGAATCCAAACGTTGAGTGGTCACAAATTGAACTTGATGGTCAACCATTGGTCATGTTTTATGTGAGTTTTGTTTATCAATAGTATCTGTTTCGGTTCTTCTCAGAAAGCTGGGCCTTTTCATTGTGAAAAACTATCATATGCAAAACCTAAAGCCAATTCGATTCTCTTGGGACTTTTCTTGGGACAAAGAGTTAAAATAAACACCGCCAATGGGTTCTACAATTATTAGAACCCCAGGGTACAGATTTTTAACACTAAATCTCATTTGGGAATGATTTACAGAACAAAAAAATGACTATAAAGTGACTGAGGAGGTGCTCTTTGTGCGGCCGCGTAATCGCTCTCCAGCTGGCACACCGTCTCGATAAATACCTTCTTCTTTTTCGCTCGTTGATCGAAACGGAAGGAGCGGCGAGCAACCGAAGGGGGATGGACCTGGCGGTTTGGGCCCTGGCGATTTGGGCCCTGGGGGTTTATCCCCAAATTCCTGGGAGCAATCTTTTCCCAAATTTGGCTCTATTATCCTACAAATTCTACATCCCGTTGAACTGAAACTCACTTGGTAAAATGTTTTTCGATATCCTGGAGTTTGGAAAGATAGATTTCAAATCTAGTCTAATCGAAGAATCGAATTGGCTTTAGGTTTTGCATCTGATAGCTTTTCACACTCGCTTTTCACATCTTTTACTCGTATTTTTTAAAATACCCGGATTTCCGAGAAGAACCTTCATTTTAATGGTACTCAAAGTTTCATATCTAGGCAAAGCGCAAAATCGGGAAGGGCCAAGAGTTATTCGTGGACTACGGAGAGGAATACATGGCTGAGAATCAGATCAATTAGAAAAAGTTGGAATAAATTTCGGTGTTTAGGCATTCTGTTTGCGATTTCCTTGACCTCAATTCACTTTATCCGTGCTTTAAATCATTAGAACTTTATTTACACTTTTTTTTGAACATTCAAATAGAAACAGTGAGCACAATATGCAAATTGGTATTGCCAGAATAGTGAAAAAGTTAAATGAAATTGAAAACCTTAACGAGATCTTCAAATATTCAAAGAAATAAATGAAAAAAATGAAAAAATAGAAAATCGATAGAAATTTGCATAGAAAATCTTTAGCAACCCGTTTTTTTGGACCTTGAAGAGGCAATGAAAAGTTCAAAGAAAGCTTTTTGAAAGCAGAAAGTGTTCAGGGTTTTGGTTTCATTTTTAAAAGTCTTTAAAGAGTGCCGTAACCAAAACCAAATGATATTCAGCATAACCCTGGGAAATTCGAAATTAACTAGCGATATGTTGTCATGGCGAGAAGCAGGAGAAGCAAAGAAAGCAAAGAAAGCAAAGCAAGCAAAGAAATCTCAAGATTCATAGAAATTCGCAATCTTGGCGGTGATATCGGCGAAGCTTGGTCGGAGATTGGGATCAGCTCGGAAAACTTTTGAGAGAGCTTCGTGGAAGACACGGGGAACCGTTTCGGGTAAGACGAGGTACATCTAAATTTGGCTTATGGGAAATGGAAATAAGTAGCATCGAGTTTTCATTTGATTGGATTAAATACTCGATCTTATTCACCATAATTTTAAGATGTATTTATTGGTTTGGTGAATTGAAAACTGCGGGACTTGGAACTAAAATTTATTGAACATAAAACCATAAATTCCAAATAATTTCCATTATTATTGAAGACTTCTGCCCATTTTACAGGCAATTTGCGGATTCCTCTTTCGTAGTAGGATTTTGGTTTGTGTGTGAGACAAGTGTGAGACTCAAAAATGGAGGACTGGGCTTTGAGATGGAGGACTGGACGCCCAGTTTGAGCACTTTCTTCAAAAGAAACCCATTTTGGTGTCAATAGAAAAGTTGTAGAGAATCAAAAATTAGGCTTATAGCCAAATTTCCAAAAAGATACACTTAGTAGTTTCGCTTAAAATGCAAGTTTTGTGAAAATTCGAAAATTTGGCATTTCTTCAAAACGAGTTTTTGAATCGTTCTGAAAATTTGGATATAAGCTTGATTTTTGATTCTCTACAACTTTTCCATTGACACCAAAGTGGGTTTCTTTTGAAGAAAGTGCTCAAACTGTCACATATGACCATAGCCGGCAGTTTTCAATTCACCAACCCAATAAAACAGCACCGAATAGGAAAAGCTCAAAACAGCGGCATCAAATTTCTCACAATCCAAAAAAGCAAACTGGCTCAAGTTTTATACTAGAAAACTCCTTGCGTTCTTGGCTACATGATGGGTGAAACAGTTTTTTAAAAAACTCAATATTTAATAGATAAAATTAGTGTTCAAAATTTGTGATATTCCGTTAATTAACTGAATACCTTTATAGATCGATTTTGAGCGCAGTGTTTTGAGCGTAGTTCAATGGGTGCATTAGTTGGTTTTAAACAGAAGTACAAAAAGGATCAAAAAGACTTTCTAGAGAACCTAATATAGCATGCCTAAACCTGTAATCTGGGATCCAAATATAGACTAGTCTGATCAGTTGAACCCCTTAACTTTGGATAGTTTGCTTGTAAGTCTAGCGATAAACTTTGCTGTATTCAAAGCTAAGCTAAGATCTAAACCTTGTTATCACCAGGTGCTTTAACATTTCATTCTAAAGCTATATCCATCAAACAAACCGTATTCTCATCTCCAGCCAGCATCTTCTCAGCGTTCTCCATGATCTCCGCATTGCTAAACCCTTCGAACGGTAAGTGTTCCCCAAATTGAACGATTTCCCAAGTAGTCACACCATATGCCCACATATCCGACTTGTTTGACCATTCGTTCTAAAAAGAAATAGCTTTTGCGTCTAGCAAGCTAATATATACCATTATTATGCTTTCTGGAGCACTGTAACGGAGTTGAGCGTGATGAGTTTGACCCCGAGGTGAGGAGACCTAGATTCATTGATTTGAAGCTTTACTTTAGATGCTTGAATGGTAAATTCAACTCTGACAGATTCTCAAAGCTAATTTCCCACCTTTGCCCTCAAATTACAATCAACAAGCACATTTCCAGGAGTGAGATGTCCATGAATGACACCCTGTGTCTCAAGGTATTCCATTCCCAGAGCCACATCCACACACATTGTCAATAGATTGTCCAATCTTAAATACCAATGATTCTTTTGCTTTTGTTGCACTTGTTACCCCAATCTTCTATTCGACTTCAAGAGTGTTCGGATATCTCCATGCTCGGCTAGCTCAAGGATCATCCCCGCGTCTTCATCCATTGCGAGAAGTCGAACGACTCGTGGATGATTGAGAGTGGAGAGAACTCGGAGTTCATCCAGAAGGGTTCTTCTAAAGGTCAATTTAACACTCACTAGGGAAAGTCGCCAGTTTTTTCACCAACAAGTTGAAATTTCAATACGAAATCTATCCTATCTTGTTCAGTTTTTTACGGGCTTTCCGAAGCCGCTTTTAGTTTTTTTCTAAATGACTTATAAACGCAAGGAATTAGGCTTTAAAGTTTAGCTCTTATTTGTAAGGCTTCCTTGAGTGCCTTAAAACGATGTCCCTGTGGCTGAGAGGTAGTGCTCCCAGTTACAAAGAGCTTAAACCTAGTTCGAGTTCGATCTCGGCCGCAGGGACAACTCTTTAAGACACTCGAGGAAGCCTTGCAAAGGATAGTTAAACTTTAAAGCCTAATTTCTTGCGTTGACAAGTCATTTAGAAAAAACTAAAAGCAGATTCGGAAAGCCCGTGAAAAACTGAACAAGATAGGATCGATTTCGTTTTGAAATTCCACCATTCCACCATTCCACCTTAAGTTAGCCACCTTCTCTAGACTCTAGAAGACTCTAGACTCTAGAAGACTCTAGACTCTAGAAGACTCTAGACTCTAGAAGACTCTAGACTCTAGAAGACTCTAGACTCTAGAAGACTCTAGACTCTAGACTCTAGAAGACTCTAGACTCTAGACTCTAGAAGACTCTAGACTCTAGACTCTAGAAGACTCTAGACTCTAGAAGACTCTAGACTCTAGAAGACTCTAGACTCTAGAAGACTCTAGACTCTAGAAGACTCTAGAATCTGAACTTCTCTAGAATGATTTTTAAAATGATTTTGACAGTTTGACAGTTTTGCAAGCTTTACCTGGCATGAATATTCCCCCGCTCTTTAGCACATTTGTGAGCAGCTCTCGGGATGCCGGGTCCTCGACATTCCCTCACTAGAGTGAACTTTCCCTCGCCGAGATCCGCTCCAATTTCAAGCTCATGATTGTGCACTTTCTTCACGTTGTCAAACCTAAATCAAAGTTTATCATTGAAACATTGAAAATTGAGGGTAAGCTGCTTGTAAGATCAAGTTGATTTTCATCCACTAACCCGTAAGTCGTAAAAATATTTGATGTAGCATAGTGAAGACTGTCATCGACGTACCTAAAACGTTTTGTTTTTGCAAAATCTTTTGCAGCATTTTGCAGCTTGCAGATTTTGCAGCACACACTCTTACTTGGAGAGGTCAGAATCGGAAAAGATCCGAATGAATAACGGTCCCTCACTGTTTTGTACAATAAACTAGAACTTGTAGGTTTAGAAAAGCTTACATTTTGTGTTTCTTTGGGTTCTTGTTTAGCGTGTTTGCACCCATTCTTGGCGGTGCTGGTGGTCGGTGTTGTGATGGGAGAAGAGGCAGGGTTAGAGATGGCTCAGCATAGGGTCCTTCAGCTTCTGTAAATGTAAATTCTGTAATGGAAATTATATGTTTTTATCAATTTCAAGTCAATTTTCAATTAATTCACAGAATTTCTAAAGTTTTACAGTAATTAAGACAATAATTACAGTAATTAATACAATAGTAATCCTCACTGTGCAGAAAAGTGGCTCTTTTCTGTGAAATCTTATTTAATGTTTTGATTTGAATGTCTGATTTTCTTGTCCCGCCTCTAAAAGATCGCTTTTATGATAAAGGGACGGATAAAAGGGACGGAGCCCACTTTATATTGTCTTTCCGTATATTCTCTTCGTATTGCTTTTTCGTATTGCTATGAAACACTGAACCAACGATTGATTCTATTCTTTTGTATTTTCTCGCTAGATTAGTATTGTGCTAGATTCGGAATAAATATCTAATAATCATTGCCTCCATCGGTATTCTCTCACACATTGCACACTCACCATGTACTACGGGAGTTTTTGGCGGAGGTGGGAAATGAAAATCTTGCCATGACGGGGCTTCGGTTTTAGCCGATCTCGTTGAACTGTTGCTTTTCGATGATAGACTGAAAGTGTCTTTTAGAAATAAAGTTCTAGAAATAAAGTTCTAGAGATAAAGTTCTAGAGATAAAGCTCTAGAAATAAAGCTCTAGAAATAAAGTCCTAGAAATAAAGTTCCTCTTTACCTAGTGCTAACAGTTTTCTCCCCGGAAAACATCGAATTCAACTGATTGATGTAGGAATGCGTTGGATAGGTTCGATTGCTGCCCATCGTCGTGACGATCATTGCAGCTCGGGTTTCACCTGGAAACTTTTCTGGTACATGTGAAATAGAATCGATACGATTATAAGATAGAATCGATACTTTTACCTTCATAGATATCCAAAGCCTCCTTTTCTCTTGGTCTTCGCCGTCGAAGGCACAACAAACAGCAGAGGATGCAAGTTGTGCACAACACGGCCATCAGAGCTAATCCTGAAATCTCTCTATTCAAATCTCTGTATTCAAAACTTTCCAGAAACAAAAGCTATTGAAATAGCATAGCATAGCAAGCTATTGAAATAGCATTGATAGCAAATAGTGGTTCCTATCAGCCTTGATAACTTGATTTTAGCATTCTACCTGCATTCTACCTGCACTTTAAATCAAGTACTAGATTGATGCAAAAGAAATTTCGCTTTTTTTACATTAAAACATTAAATTTAATGGGTGTTTGTGCAATAGATCGGATCTCAAATCCATTTTAACTTAAAACAGTTCCCTATATCAATTATTGGACAACAATTAGAGTTTTGCTCTTCTTCTATCTAGTATAAGCTTTGTTTTGCTATCTAGTTGCTATCTTCTTCTATCTAGTATCTTCTTCTATCTATGCTAAAGCCAGCCTTTCTATTTAGTTCTCTCATTCAGTGCCGTGAAATTTCTAAACGATTCAGCATGAAAGTTTTCATGTTCACGTAATCGTACCTCATCTAGTGCACATCTTTCCCTTATAACCCGTCCTCAATCAGCTTTCCTCACCGGTCATTTCGAACTTGATCTCATGGCGGTTTTGGGAAGTGAACCCACGGGACAACAATTAGAGTTTTGTTCTTCTTCTATCTAGTATAAGCTTTCTCTATGCTAAAGCCAGCCTTTCTATTTAGCTATCAAAATTTTATGGTTCATTACAGTGAAGTTTCTAAATGATCCTTATCCTAAATGATCCTGTGCAATAGATCAGATCCCAAATCCATTTTAACTATTTTAACAGTTCCCTATATCAATTATTCTTGTTAGCTTGTATTTCACATCAAAAAACATCAATACTTCAACTCTTACCCGCATAATAAAGAATTGAATAGTCAACTCCTCCTTTCTCCGGCTCGATCAAAACAATCTCTTTCTCTCCAACTTCATCCGCGTGATTGTACAAAACTAAAACTTTTTTTTTATAAAACTCCATTCATTCTTGTTAGTAGCAAATGTTATTGGCCCAGTTTCCCAGAAAAAAAAGACAGTTATTTCTTCAAAAGGGATTTATCTATTCAAACATGAGGTAAGGAAAAGCATTAAATGTCCAAGCGCTAAAAATCTTGTACCGATTCGTTTAAATACGAATGGAACGGGTCGTTGGAGTGGTGCTGAAAACGAAAAAAAGGATTGACAGGAGAAATCACAAAAATTATAGGTTTTATTGTAGATTTACTTGAATTGAAGTTGATCTCGGAGAGGAAAAACCATTCGGTGGCGAAACGGAAAGAGATCTGAAAAGAGGGAACTTTTATCAAAACTTTGATTTTACAACTACAATCTTTTGGTTTCTGTTTCTGTTTCTGTTTCTGTTTCTGCTTCTGCTTCTGTTGCTTGCTTCTGTTTCTGTTTCTGCTTCTGCTTCTGTTTCTGTTGCTTGCTTCTGTTTCTGCTTCTGCTTCTGTTTCTGTTGCTTGCTTCTGTTTCTGCTTCTGCTTCTGTTTCTGTTGCTTGCTTCTGTTTCTGCTTCTGCTTCTGCTTCTGTTGCTTGCTTCTGTTTCTGTTTCTGTTTCTGTTTCTGTTTCTGCTTCTGCTTCTGTTGCTTGCTTCTGTTTCTGCTTCTGCTTCTGCTTCTGTTGCTTACTTCTGTTGCTTGCTTCTGTTTCTGTTTCTGTTTCTGCTTCTGTTTCTGTTTCTGCTTCTGCTGCTTGCTTCTGTTTCTGCTTCTGCTTCTGTTTCTGTTGCTTGCTTCTGTTTCTGCTTCTGCTTCTGCTTCTGTTGCTTACTTCTGTTGCTTGCTTCTGTTTCTGTTTCTGTTTCTGCTTCTGTTTCTGTTTCTGTTTCTGTTTCTGTTTCTGCTTCTGCTTCTGTTGCTTGCTTCTGTTGCTTGCTTCTGTTTCTGCTTCTGCTTCTGTTTCTGTTTCTGCTTCTGTTACTTTCTTCTGTTTCACCTTAAGCACTTTTCCGGGTCTTCGATGAAGTGGTAGCTTCAAATTGAAGAGTCTCATTGATCGATTTGCGGATTGATCAAGGGAAGAGATTTGCGAGGCGAGTGGGAAGTTGATCCCGTCTTGGCTAAAGCTTGAGATTGTATTGACTTGAAGATTGTTTTAATTCCTGTTAGTACGATAGCAGTATGCTTAGAATGGTAATCTGGTTAGCTTTAATGCTTATGAATCATAGATTAACTGTACAAGGTGCGTCACAATTACCCAAACTCACTTCCAAGAGTCTAGCTCAACCAAAATCAAACCAATCTCTCTGATTTTTTCAGAGGTAAATCTTGACTAAGTCCCCCGCAGCTGTGCTCAAAATTTAGTCGATTGAAGTAAACACAAGTTTTATATAGGTTCTGAAAGTTGAGAGTCCGCTGGCAAGCAACACATTTTTGAGTTAGTTTTGTTTTGACGTTAGTTCTGACGAAATTAAATTAAACTTTTACTAGTATTGAACAAAATACGCTAAATACTAAAAATTTGGCAACTATCTGCTTTAAAAAGAATGGCAATTTCATTTCCTATTTGTAGATTCAGCTTCTAGATTTGTTGTTTGTGAGTAGATAACAGAATCCAGCGGTTTTAATCCTTTCTTTTTATGCTTCTTCAAAGTTGGACGGCTTACTTTGCATAACGAGCTTTTTATTGACACTTTCCTTGCAAGAAAAACCAAATTCAGAATGATTTTTGGCAAGAATGGTGGTTTAAATACCAAAAACCATTGCATACAAACGGAGGCGTGACTCTCAACTTTCAGAACCTATATAAAATTTCTGTTTGCTTCAATCGACTAAATAATGAGCACAGCTGCGGGGGACTTAGTCAAGATTTACCTCTGAAAAAATCAGAGAGATTGGTTTGATTTTGGTTGAGCTAGACTCTTGGAAGTGAATCTGGGTATAACGCACAACATTGTGCCGCATTATGATGCCTTTACTTTAGAGCTCATACAGCTCATACAGCTGTAGAGCTCATACATACTTAGGTGAAAGTCCAGCCTGGTAAATGAATCATATACTCAGCTATTCTCTACTTCAACTCATATAATTGTCATCTTTTAAATGGCAATTTTAGCAATTTGGCATCTCTTTTGACAATTTTTGACCTGAATATCACATCAATTTGCTCCATCCTTTCACCAAACGCATTGAAGTCCATACTCGAAAAGTTTCGCACATAATCGAACTCAAATGTGATGCTCACATTTCCATCTAAAACTTGAACATTTTTCTCTAGCTTTTGCTCTAGCTAGCTCTTTCTCTAGCTCTCTAGCTCTAGCTACACAATTGTTTATTTCTAAATCCATCCCTAACCGATAACTAGAAACCAATTTTGGGAAGGGTCCCTGAGAAGATTCCATAAATTTCCTCGAAAATGAAATGAATGAAATGAATGAAGTGAATGAAACGATGTGGTTTCTCTTTTCTTTTTCTTCATGGCTATGCAAACAATATGCGCCAAGCGGTTTCCCCCTGAAGAGATGAAGAAAAGGAAATTAAGGCCTGAGGGAAGAGATAGGGAAGGGCAGAATGGAGTGCGCGATGAAATGCTCATTGTGAATGGGAAGTGAAAAGCACTTGGCAAAAAGATTATCACATTTAGTTCTAGAAAGAAGAGAGTTTGTAAGTGATCTTTTTATGTTGCCTGTAGCTGTGACTGTGTCTTTGCAAACGATCAATGATCAAATGCAATGCAAATCAACGTCTTTGCAAACGATCAATGATCAATGATCAAATGATAATCTAAAATTCATCTAACCAAAGCAAGATCAAAGTATCAAAGCTTTAAACTAATATCAAAGTTCTACTTTACTAGTTTTACCAATTATTAGGTTAGTTATTTCACTATTTTATCAACCTATAAAGTGTCTCAAAAGCAGCAAAATCTCTATCAATTGATGAAAATGCTCAAAGTAAAACCTAAAAGAGCTAATCACTGTTCTCGCAAATCCCTAGAATCAAAGCCATCTTTTTTTCATTGGTTTCAAACTTTCAATCCGGTCCTTTCTTTTCCTTCTTTTCTTTCTTTTGTCCTTTCTTTATGTTGAGTTCTATTGAATGACACACTTATTGAATGGACACAAGAAGAGAGAGAGAAAGAGAGAGAAAGAGAGAGAGGTGGAGTGTCATAACGAACACATTGCACTGTGAACGATTGTTTCGATTGCACAACCATTGCAATAAAATTGCATGGGCACCAATGAAGAATTGGGAAATTTATATGGATTTGAATGGGCACTAATGTAGCTAAAATAATAAGGGAATGGTAACGGAAGGTATGAGATTTTGATACAAATTTGGTTTGGTTTGGTTTGGCCCACCAAATTTCCATTTGGTGGGCCATTTCTTTCCTTCTTTCTCTTGGCAAGTGAAGGTACAAGATAGCTCAGTGGTTAGAGCAATTGCTCGGAAAGCAAGGTCGAGGTCAACGGTTCAATCAGTTGGAACTAAGGCCGATCAAAATTTGTGCGCCGCCGGGACACGAACCCAGGACCTTTCGCTTAACGGGCAAATGTGCTAACCATTACACCAAAACGCACGTGAGCACCACAACGCACGTTTCACTTACTCCAGAAGAATGAACTATTTAGTTTTTGGCAAGGAAGCCGCATTCTCGAGAAAAACGCGTTTAGATATCTACTCGGAAAAAAGATTGAGCAGTCTACTGGTTCCTGGGCTAAGGGGCCTTTGTCCCGCTCCGTAAAAAGTGTCTCTATGGCCTAATGGGTAGTGCGTTGACGCAGCAAGATTCAATTCTTCTCTCGGGTTCAATTCCGGTCCCCAACTTTTCTTTTTTTTTGGATGAAAAACATGAAGAAAATAAAATTATTAGCATTGACCATGTTACTGTTATATGTTTGTTTATGCTTGTTTTCGCTCTTAAAGATCTCGCCAGAGGTTGTGGGCTTCTAAAGCAGGCCTTTCCAGGAACTTGTGAAATTACGGATGGACCCTAATCTTAAATACTATGTTCCAAAGTAAACCAAAACTTTGGCTTAGCTAAAATAGAATTTTATCTTATTTGAAGCCTTATTTCAATTTCAAGCTTTACCCGTCTTTTCTCGATTCCATCCAATCCACGTGCTGTTCTCTGGAGTGTCTTCATAAGGCGATCGTTGACTTGCGTTTCCATCAGAAAGAGTGCCAAGACCCCTAAAATGATTGTTAAACTTTCGTAATTGAAAAGAATTCCTTTTTATTGTTAGCTTCTAAACAACTACCTCTTGATTCCATCCTCAGCGAACTGTTCGACTTGCTCAAAGTTTCGATCTCGAAAATCAAAGAAACCAACTCTCGAGCCTTCGGGATGAAGAGAGTAAAACATCAAGCCATCTAAAGAATTGATTCACATTTGAACAGGGCAGGGTTAAACCTGTATTCAGACATCCATGTAGCTCAATCCTCATGCACATCGTTCTCGTCTGTTTACTCGATGGCACTAATCTGATTCGAGAGGCCACAATTGGAGGATCAAGTTTAGTGAACAGAGCCGTCATTGTGTCCTTGTTTCCGTCCAGAAGCTAAAAACAAGCTTATTTATTTTGTTTTGAAAGCTTGAATAGGTATTAAGCTGTCTTTTCATTCCTTTTCGTACTTCCCTTGAGAAATAACAGACAAACAACCTATGCTTTGTTCTCGAATTTGCTTGAAAGTAAACCAAAATTGAATTAAATTGAATTAAATTGACGCTTTTTGAGTTGTATTTGAAATTTTAAATATGATTTTGTAGAGAAATTGTAGAGAAATCAATGCTCTTTCTAATGATACTATTCATGTGTCATTTGATAAAGACTATCAGATGTTATAGAAGTTTCTTTGAAAGTTGGCGCCATTTTCATATTCCCCAATTCTATAGTTGTTATGATTGCTAGATTTCAACAAACTTCATGTCCCGATCGATTCCGATATCGTATCCATTGAGCTCCTTCTCTCAAATAGTCGATCATGAAATGTGTCGCGTATTCTCTTCCTGTTCCATTTCCATATCGACCTTGGGTCTCAACGGCGGTAATCACATGTGTTTTGTTGAGATTCACCTAGAAAGCGAAACATTTTCAATTCAAACACTTCTTCTTAAAGCAATATTAACAACTCCTCCAATTATGCAATGATTTCAAGTTTGTTTCTTTAATATTCTTTACTGCTAATTTTTATTGGGTTGATGAATTGAAAACTGCGGGACTTTGAACTAAAATTTATTGAACATAAAATCATCAATTCATTCCAAATAATTTCCATTATTATTGACTACTTCTGCTCATTTTACAGGCAATTTGCGGATTCCTCTTTCGGAGTAGGATTTTGGTTTGTGTGTGAGACAAGTGTGAGAGTCAAAAATGGAAGACTGGAGATGTCAGCTGTCAGCCCAGTTTGAGCACTTTCTTCAAAAGAAACCCATTTTGGTGTCAATAGAAAAGTTGTAGAGAATCAAAAATCAAGCGTATATCCAAATTTCCAAAAAGATACACTTAGTAGTTTCGCTTAAAATGCAAGTTTTGTGAAAATTCGTAAATTTGGCATTTCTTGAAAACCAGTTTTTGAATCGTTCTGAAAATTTGGCTATAAGCCTAATTTTTGATTCTCTACAACTTTTCTATTGACACCAAAATGGGTTTCTTTTGGAGAAAGTGCTCAAACTGTCACCTATGACAATAGCCCGCAGTTTTCAATTCGCCAACCCAATATTTTAGTTAATCTCTAAATAATATCTGAAATTTACCTGAATGAACTCATAGCTTTTCGGATGAATTTGACTCTTCGGGCACCAAGCGCCTGAGGCGAATTCACTTCGTATTCTGAAATTGAGAAATAGATTCTACGTCTCATCTCGTCACCAAATTTCCAAAAAAAAATTCTTTGAATGTTAATGTGGCTTTGAAATAAACGGTGCGGCATAAGTATGGTTACAGACTCAGAACCGTGTCTCGTAATGAAATATGAACGGATTCATGTATAATTGATTTGAAATTAACAACAGTAATCTTATTAACAACAGTAATCATATTGAAAGTAACAAATGATTGAATATGGGCACCTTTATTCTGGATAACGATTCTTTAAGACACTTTGGATAACTTGTTCAATGTTACAACCTTATAACCATACTTATGCCGCACCCTGTAGTATTAGATTTCATAAATCTCAAACCCTTTGACTTTAAAAGTCCTAAATCGGTGCCAATGGTGGGGAATGGATGAGTGTTGTGAATAATTCATGATTGGTCTCCCAAACCAACGGGGCTTTTAAAGGGGAAAACGGGTAAAGAGGCTGGAGTATTTGCTTTGATTTGTGCATCTTTATGAGTCAAAGGTTAGAGTATAAAGTTAAGGTTAGAGTATATCTCAAAATTTCTAGCACAACTTTTTGTAAAAGCAACTAACAAATGTCCAACTTATTTCAAAAGTGATAAGTGTTATAGAGAGAATTAAAGCCCGGAATCTTGGCTACATTTATATACCAAAAGTTTTTGAATTGGAGCCATACAAGTCGTGTGACAAGCTTTTGAGTAAGCGCTACTCAGTCTCTTTCCGGCACGTTGCCATTTTTAACGATTTCTGCTCTAGCTGTGCTGCTCTAGCTCTATAAATTCATTGAACTTAATTTTTTAAACAAGACTTTATACAAAAACTTTATACTTTATACTACAGCTCTAACATTTATAGAGCTAGAGCAGCACAGCTAGAGCTATGAACTTTTGAACGTAAATTAATGCCGGTGAGTTTCTGTGAGAATTTCCCAAGCTAAAGCAGTCTGAACTTTCTTTAAACTCAATTATTCTTTAATCTGTTTTCAGATAAATGTTCCTCAAACATTTCTCTTCATTTTTGACCCTTAACCTAAGTAAATCGGTTGCCTGTGAACGCTTTTAGACGAGCTGGAACGGAAAGAATTTACGCAATCTTGTTCTTGTTGTGCTGTTGTCGCAATCTTGTTGTGAATTTGTTAAAAGCTATTTGCTATTTGTTTTTGTTTGATTTCCCAAATCATTCTCACCAAAAACTCTAAAATCATAGCCCACTAGAAGGGTCGAGACTTCTCACTTGTGCTTGTGTGTCCCTAGGGAATGAGAGGATGAGGCGGCGATTTGTTACCATCCGCCCATATAGATCCATCATCACAAAGAGGGCAATTAGTAGGGAAAAGCAAGCAGAGATAGATCGTCTTTTGGGAGGTCTTTCCTCTCTTGTCTTCCCCAAAAACCCGTGCAACTACTCACAAAGACGAATCTCTTTCACAAACATGCCTCCACACTTTGGGGCTTAAATCTTGGTGAGAAACATTAGAAATAGAACTACAGGAGTCTTTGAATCAGTCTTTGAATCAGTCTTTTGAGTCTTTGAGTCTTTAGCTTTTTTTGACTCTTTGTTTGACTTTGAATCTTTCTTTGATCAGTTGACAAGAACGAGCTCAATCCGTTGACAAGAAGGAGCTCAATCAGTTGACAAGAACGATCTCGATCCGTTGACAAGAACGAGCTCAATCAGTTGGCAAGAACGATCTCGATCAGTTGCCAAGAACGATCTCGATCAGTTGACAAGAACGATCTCAATCAGTTGCCAAGAACGCTCTCAATCAGTTGACAAGAACGCTCTCAATCAGTTGACAAGAACGATCTCGATCAGTTGACAAGAACGATCTCGAACGAAGAAAGGAGTAGACGCTCAGAGTTAATTCTTGGTCAAAGAAGCCTTGTCTGACCAATTGACCTAAATAATTTGCAAGCCTTTTGCAAATCATTTGTCCATTTTTTTACAGCTTTGACTTCTATTAGGACAATGGATTGATCTGCTTTAACAATCGAAAACTTTCATGAATCAGTCCAAATTCCGAACCCCCATTTCACCGATTCCGGTTGTTTTCCCCTTAGTAGTGGTTTCAGCAATTCCACGCCCGAAATGGCTATGCAAAATTTCACAGCGTACATCGAGAAATCGCCAAATTTTCCTAGGGAAAAAGAGAAAAAGAACGCAGTGAGGCGGACGGGCACTCTACCCTATCTTTTTCTTTCGTTTCTCTTTTCTCCAGCAAGAGTCGCCTTCTGAAAGCGATTTTCGGGCAAATTTACGCTGAGTGTTTGAATGAATGGGACACTCTTTTGAGAGAAAATAATCACATGTTTCACGCTTCCATTTCTTGCTTGATTAGGTGTTGGGAAGATTCTGATTTGGTGAATTCTGCTTTGGGAAAAGTAGCTTTAGAATGGAGCTTTAGAGCTTTAGAATGGAGCTTTAGAGCTTTAGAATAGAACTTTAGAGCTTTAGAATGAAGCTTTAGATCTTTAGAGTTTTAGAATAGAGCTTTAAAGCTTTAGAATAGAGCTTTAGAGCTTTAGAACTTTAGAATGGAGCTTTAGAATGGAGCTTTAAAATGAAGCTTTAGAGCTTTAGAATAGAGCTTTAGAGCTTTAAAATGAAGCTTTAGAGCTTTAGAATGGATTGCTGAATAAATTCACATTGTTTAAAGTGCTTTAGGAGTTATCAATGATTAGTTGACAAGCTCAGAGCTTGAAGTTGATGAGTAAGTGAGTTAGATTTACCCGAACATATCCACTACCGTAACTTAACCAAAAATTCTATCAATTTGGTCAAGGTCTCTCAAATTCTGTCAATTTGAAGTCAAATTCCAGAAAAACAACTGTGCTAACCATAAACCCTTTAGCAAAAAGCAATGACACACAAAATTGAGTTTTTCATTGTGATTTACCTTCCAGGGAATGGCATGGAAATGATACTGGATCGTAGTTTAATTAAAGAAAGTTTTTGCAAACAAACCTCGCATTTTGGGGTCCAACCGATTGTTGATCGAAGCTCGACGAGGCGGTGATTTGCGCATCGGTGATGGCGCCGGACTCCATGCCCAACGGGATTGCATTGCATTTGTCTGAAAACAGTAGAGTTTAGTTGTTTGCTGTCCAAACAGTAGAGTTTGGTTGTCTATTGATCAATTTCCATCTTTTTAAGTCAATTTGAGTTCTTTTTCAAGCAAATTCGAGAGGGAAAACGTGTCAGAGTGAAAACGAGAGTAAAAAACATCGTAAAAATCTATAAAAAGCTCTAGGAAGAAATAGGTTAAAGCAATTTTTCTGAAAATTTGGCTATATACAAAACTTTTTGTGCTCTATCTTTTATGTATTGACACCAAGCTAGGTTTCCTTAGCTAAAGTAGGCCTTTTTTTGAAGCTAAAGTGTTTGCATCATTGAGTCGTCGCTCTTTTTGACTATTGACTTTAAACTTGACTTTGACTCTATACTTTAATTTCAACTGAATATCTTTGAATATGTTTATAAATTAGTACAATAAATTAGTGCTATAATTGGAACCTAGACCGGTAGATTCCGTCTAGCTGTTCAGAAAGTTTTCTTTTCGTTTCTTTTCGTACTTCCGTTGAAAAATAACAAATTCACCAATTAACCTATAATTTGCTCTCAATAAATAGTGTTTATTGATCAATTTCCTATCTTTTAAAGTCAATTTTGGTTCACTTTAAAGCAGATTCGAGAGTGAAAAACGTGTTTTTCGTTAAAAATCTATAAAAACCTCTAGAAAGAAATTGTTTGAAGCAATTTCTCTGAAAATTGGGTTATGTATAGAACTCTTTGTGCTCTATCTTTTATCTATTGACAGCAAAATAGGTTTCCTTAGCTAAAGTGTGTCTTTTCTAAAGCTAAAGTGTCCGCATCATCGAGCCGTCGCTCTTTTTGACTACCCGACTTCAAACTTCGATAAAAATCCAGAAATAAGACATTTTAAGCCCATTGTAATGTTATTTTGCAGAAAAATAATTGCCTTTTCTAATAAAACAAACCGTAGTTCAACTGGTGTATTTGTTGGTTTTAAACGGAAGTACGAAAAGAAACGAAAAGGCTTTCAGCCTAATAACTGTGACTGAATCACTTCCTTTATTACTTACCCTTGTATTACTTGTTATTGAAAACATTAATCTATTCTTTCATTGTTCCAATCTTGTGCGTTATCTCATTTCCTTCAAGACTCATGTTCACTTTTATTTTGTTCCTCAAATAGGCTTCCTAATCTCTTTATTTTCCAATGTCCCTCCTCGATTTCACCATCTCTGCTAAATCTATCTCTGAACAGATCTCTGACCCATTTTAGAACTCAAGTGATTCATTTGCAATAAAAAACAAACATTTCTTATCATTTCCTATACTTTTATGCATATTAGTGCTTTTTTTGGCTCAATTTTTCTCAATTTCTCTGAGATTCTCGATCTTTTCTCGAGATTTTATCAAACCAGCCGAGAAAATATTTGCACTTATCTCGAGAGATAATCTTTAGTACTAATGGTTTTGGGATAACCTGGGAAATGAATAAAGAGATGAAAGATGTTTTTTCTATAGAAAATTGATGGAAGAAAGGTTTGTTTTGTTTAGAAAAAGAAAAGTATTAAAGGTTACTAGAGCTTTTGGTTTGTAAGCACTGTAAGCTGCTCAAAAATAACTAAACAATCTCATCTTTGGTTTTGGGATAACCTGGGAAATGAAAAAGAGATGAAAGATGTTTTTTTCTATAGAAAATTGATGGAAGAAAGGTTTGTTTTGTTTAGAAAAAGAAAAGTATTAAAGATTACTAGAGCTTTTGGTTTTTAAGCACTACTCTGTAAGCTGTAAGCTGTAAGCTGCTCAAAAATAACTAAACAATCTCATCTGAGTGTAGTTTTTATCAGTAACATTTACTAAATCTAAATTGAAATCATTTTGAAACTTCATACGCAAAAACATATGCAAAAATATAAGCAAAAACTTAATTCTAAATTTTCCCCTTCATGCAATAACTTATTATTACACAAAATTTCATTCCCCATTTCTACTAGAAGCAATAAAATTTGGGGTGCACAAATATGCTCCTTCTAGACTCTATAAGAGAAAGAAACAGAGAAATGGCATCTGGAATGAGTATTGAATTGAAGGAAAAGAAAAAGGAAATAAAAGGAAAAGAATTAGGGAAGACGATTCATTCAATTTGACTTCTTTTCACTGTAATTTAGAAACAAATACAAAAATGGACCCAGAAAGTGACCTTAGAATTGCTCTTCATCACTACAAACAGTCACTAGAAAGAGCCAGTCAACTTTGAAAAGTGTTTGAATATGATTATATACTGTTATTATATATCATACCAGCCAAACCTGCCTAACGGCGGGTTTTTCTCGATTTTTCGCAAGTGAACGGCTTTTGTCGCCGTGGAGCAGTGGAGTAGCGCCGGTCTATCGCCCATACGATCCGGGTTCGACCTCCCCGTGCGACTCGAATTGTGCTTTTTAAAAAATCCAAAAGCCCGTTGCACAACTATATGTAATTCCCTATTCAACGGCGCAAAAATCATTGCAAACGGTCCTCTGGGGGCTGAGGACTGGCGCGCACAGATGGACAAACAGACAGATGGACAAACAGACAGACGAACAGACAGACAGACGAACAGACAGACAGACGAACAGACAGACAGACGAACAGGCAGACAGACAGACGAACAGACAGACGAACAGACAGACGTCTTAGTCCCTTTATATCTAGTAGATAATGTTTTTAAAAAGCATTTAGCTTCATAAACGTGTTTAGAATGAAATCAAAAACAAGTTGTTGCGTTATTTGGAAGTGTTTGAACTTTAGAAAGTTTCAAGTTCTGCTTTTAGCTGTGAAAATCAAAACTTGATCGGTTGATAAGTTCGTCATTTTCATAAGATTGATTTGATAATCTGACATTAACAACATTAGAACATGATAACATTAGAAATCGAGTCCAAATTTCGACTTTTTTTCCCTGATATCCCTGAGATTTCCGCTTTGGTTGACGAGAGAGCGATTAGTACAATGTCTCCACTTCTACCCACGTTTTTCCCTCAAAACACATCCCTAGTGAGCATTTTTCCACTCGAAAAGCTATCGCCTATTTTGGAGTTGTGACTTTCAAAAGAAAAGACTTGAGAAAGCGGTAAAAAGTGTCTTGACTTGGCCCCCTTGGGACTTAAGAGAGAGAGCTTTCCTCAAGACCTATTTATATGCGAGAAAGTTTTTCTCTTCAATTTTTAGCTATGAGAACGGAGCATGATTGAAATGGAGTGTATTCTTTTGAATGAATGAAGTAGTTTCTCTTGAAGTCACTTGTTACAAGACAGGAACGCTGATACATGATGGATTGGAGTGGAGATTTCGAAGAGAAAGGAATGAAGTCTGGTGATGGCTTGTTGTAAAACATGGAATGTTTAGCAAAGGCACAGATTGCGATGCTACTGATTGCTTTAGATGGCACAGAAGCACAAAAGCTTTAGATGGCGCAGAAGCTTTAGATGACAGAGAAACAAGGCATAACTGCACCAAAAACTAATATCAATATAGAAAATCTTAAAATCTAATTTAGTTGTGTCATTTAAAATTAAAAAAGTCCAAGTCCAGGGTCGCAGCAGGGGTCGAACCCGGCTAGTGTGGGCTGCAAGCGCGCTGCTGACTGCGCCACGGCCACGTCCCTGCACTCACAGCAAACACTGTTGTCAGTCTGTGAGGCAAAGATCTTGAGAACTTTTCCTGCGAATTTTCCGATCTTGAGAACTTCAAGGGCGGGTTTCAAGGTTCAAGGGCTTCAAGGGCGGCAGTGCGGCCGTGGCGCCGTCGGGAGGGCGCTCGCCTCACACCCCGGTCGTCTGCCCACACGAGCCAGGTTCGACCCTCGCCGCAGCCTTCGAGTATCAACTTCGAGTAGTTTTTAACTGATAATTTTAAATCAAATGACATTGACCTAATCAAATTATATTGACATAAGCAAATAATATTTTAAGACTTTTTATATTATCTTTTAAGTAAATTTTGGTTTTTAGCCCAAAAATGGCTGAGAAAAAAGCCCACAGACAGACAGACAGACACTGCTCTTTTATATAGATTTGTTTGCTTTTTTTCTATTTTTTTGACCAAATTTCGATATAAGATCAAAGGACACTTGATCAAGTCAATCCATCTTCGCAAAGCTTTTGACAAATCGGCTGTCCGATGGGGATTTGCCTCAAACTCTCCAATGGACAGTCCGTAACTCATCATTTATGTTACACTAATCTGGGCCTGAGAAAAAGGGAGTTGTTGTCGTCAATAACAAGGAACAATTGAGTTTTTGAGATCTAGCAATAAGTGAATGGAGGAAATTTGTGTTAAAGCTTGCTATTTGTTTGTTCTAAGCCATTGATTGCCAGGATTGCCTAAGCCATTGATTGCCAGGAATTGCCTAAGCCATTGATTGCCTAAGCCCTGAAGACGAAGAAGCGTAGTGTTTGTAAATTTTGTGAAGCTGGGTTTTATTGAGCGATTCTATAAGATTAACACGATTTTTTTGTGTGTGAATCATAACGATTTTTTGTGCTTTGTTTAGCTATGAGGTCCGCTAGACTTTTTGTGTAAAAGTCAACTTGTTATTTCTTTGCATTTTCCCATCCATTAGTCACCCGCCGAAATGCATGGCCTATCATACGGGGATTGGCGCCAAAATGTTTTTTATTTTTGTTTGGAAAGACGAAAAGTCTCGTTCCCTGTTCGCAAACCGTTTCTTTCTCAACGCTTAAATGTTTCGAATATTCATGAAATGCGAAAGAGAAGTAAAATTGAGAGAATCAACAACACGTTCACATGTCAACGAGAAAAATGAATTGTTTGATTGATGGAGATGGAGATGAATTTTTGAGTGAAACGGGAGATGTAGAGGGTATTTTTGGAAGGTTTATAAGGTGAAAACTGATTCAAAAGATTCAAAAAGATGCTCTTATTGAACGAAAATGGATAGAAAAGGATTTGAACTTGAGGATCCTATTGGATCTCAAGGAACTTAAGGACTCAAGGAACTGAAGGACTCAAGGATCCTATTGGATCTCAAGGACTCCAGGA